ATTCGGGCAAATGTCATAGAAAGCCCGGAGTGTAACTGTGGTCATCACTGTGGGAGTCATCATTCTCTTTTCAATCGCACAAGCTTTAGTCAGCAGAGGCGAAGAATATTTCAAAGCCTAAATACACTGGATGCCAACTGAATTCTGAATATGCATCAATCTGGTGTAAATACCCGAAAAAAAATACCGAAATGTTAAATAGTATTCTTATCAAACAAAAAGGCAGTGTGCCAAATCAAGAACAAAAGATAGGAATACAGGAATACCCGTAAAATGATAACAAGACCGGGTGTCCCGGAAGGGTAAGTGTTTTCTACACAAGGTAAACTTCGCCAGGGGTTATAATACAACCTTTCGCGTTTGTTCTGCGAAATGACACTAATCACCAACCACACTTATTTTTTTAATAAAGTTATCTAGTGTTATTTTGTCAGTCCTTAAAACTGTGAAGAGGTTTCAAATAATACTTACTTATGAAAAAAAGAATAGCCAAGAAAAGTCAAAATTTTAGACATGGATATTCATAAGTATAACATAAAGTTACGTAGTTATTCAGTATATTATTTTACACAGTGCAAAGTTTAGAAATGTACTGTTTACGCAAATAAAGAAAAAAATAAAGATAAAACATGTCATATAATAATAGTAATATCTCTGTCATCCTGTTAGCTATAGAGACTTATTTGACAATCTGGGGATTCGAAATATTTAGTGGTAATACGTCGTAATGATAAAAAACAAGAGGTGTTCAATTAGGATTTGTGAAGTTTACTCGGGAATTGTTTGTGGGACTGTTTTTCTTTCATAAAATGATCTGATAAACCGGATACTGGATGTCATAGTAAAGTTAATCTACTTTACACAAAATATTCTGGTACAGAACATCTGTTTACAGATATGAGTTCGATTCCCTGTAAATATCGATAGCTGTTGATACGTTTATAAGAGAGAGTTTCGAGAGATACATGCTGCAAAAAGATTAAGGCGAAGCATTACGATCGTGATTAAGATTATATTAAGGAGGAATGTTTGATTTCCTTATGTAATAAAACTAAGATGTATTCATTGTTTGTTTGGTGGTAAAATGTGATGGTTTTATACTTGTGAACGTTACATTAAACGGATTGTCACGGTGGATGTTGTCAAAGCATGTGACTAAGGGCTACAACCGCGTTTATTCTCTTTACGCGTTTTCAATGGTATCAGTGAAGATATTGTTAAGGGTCATATTTGATTTCTCACATGTTTTTAGTTTGGATTATGACATTTTTAACTTAGTATTTGTTTCCAATCCTTCTGTAAATTAGATACGAGGGGAAAAAAACGTACCGCATAGACCACACTACTACACTGTGGATTAAGAATGGGTTATGTAAATTTTAAATAACAAGATGTTTATATTATAGGAAGGTAGTACTTCAATTCAAGTGAAATTCCCAGATATATGGATATATCGATGTTAAAATTTATTTCAGTCAGTTTTAAGTATACTTATTTACCTCCTTTGTTTAAACAACATGTCATTAGCATCACCGCCGAGTCATTGAAGGACCCACCAGCTGTATGATACATTTTAATTCCTTGTATCTAATTTCTATTTTGTAGTAACAGTTGTTACTGTCTGTTATAAATGTTGTACAATCTTTAAAGCAGATGTTATTTATATAAAATTGCAGTAATAAGTATGCATGTACATCATATAAATATGAATATCTAGTGAGATTACATATTTAACAGGCGTACAGGACGTTGGACTAATTATCTATTGATTAATAATATTATTGTAAAACACAGATACAGTATCGATCACTGAATATGTAAATTAATATCAAAGTCTGGTATATAATTTAAATTGAATTCATATCGTATCATCACCATTTAAAAGTCCATATGTTCACATAACACAGAATAATGTATTGCTTAATAAGTGTACACTTAGTGTTCATAGCTTTACAATTTTTCTTCTAGAACTCAACAGTGATACTAAAGGCCTACATTTTGAAATTTTGAGGATACTGAGGAAAACCAAAGTGATCGAAAGCAAATGGTAAATCTAGGTTAATTGGCAGGATGGTTCCCGAATGATATTTTGGGGAAAACTCCTTCTTTGTTGATACATATGAATGCTTAACGCAAATGAACTTGTTTTGAACAGAATACGTCATACTTTTAAATTGGATGGCAGAGAGAAAACAACAAGAAAACAGGAAAACATAAACATTATCAAATAATCCAAACTCAAATGGAATAAAACCAATGCAAAATATGAACAAATGAAAGATTTACACAGATATTCCTGAACAAAAGTACAAGGATAATTAGATCAGGTGTTCCGGAAGAGCAAACGTCTTGTTTCTTCTTTGACACCCATTATATAAACCTCGGTCAATCAACTGTGACATGTGCATATCATAGGATGGAGATGGAGGTATATTACTATCCAGAAATGGAAACTTGAAATCATCATGTTTATCATACAACTTGATGGAAAGTTGTTCAAGTTGGTTTCGTTATGGGAAAAGATCGAGATAAGCAGCTGATGTAGAAGAGCCTGTGGTATCTTTGATTTCCAGTTCTGGTACATGTTTACGATGAACGTAGTCAAGAAGTTTCTTGTTATTTACAGACAAGATGTCAGCAATATATCTAAAGGTGAAATTAAACGACTTTGCAAGATCATTGTGACCTGTTTTGATAAGCTATTCAATGAATTCAGTCTCTTATGAAAACAAAAAAAAAAAAAGTCAGCCAACAGAAGGGCGCAGTTTGTTCCCATAGGTATGCCAATAGTCTGTTGGAAGATCTACTACCAAACTCGACGAAATTGTGGTCAACCAGAAAATCGATCAGTTTTATGATTTCGTCCTCCGAATATTTCGTCTTTGATTTGGTCGTAAATTTTACGAAGTACGCTTCAGTATAGTTCATAATCATATATTTATAACGCCGTCGACCTTTCCTGGAGATGAAAGATTTCATGACAAGAAAACGAAGACGTTCCTTCAGTTTAGAATGGGGTATGGTGGTGTACTGCGTGGAATTATCAAATAGGAGACATTCGTTTTCAGAAGAGGTGTTAAAGATACTATAAAGTCACTTCTTAGAGTAAACAGTATCACAATAAGGCTGTAACCCAGATGTTATAGTACTTAGAATCATTGTTAGAAGTTTACACAAAGGCTCGATTGAACAGTTAGACGAGCAAGCTATAAAACGTTGTTTATATGGATTCCTGTGATGTTTAGGGATCCACTATAAACGGGGGAGGTCCAAATGTTTATCATTAATAGGATATCAAAATGGTTCGTAATAACGAGGCAAGATCAGCATTTCGTCCTTTTGAAAGAAAACATCATGTAGAGGCGGGGTCTCCTTCGTTATCAAACAAACCCATTTCCCTCTATATAAGGAAATGTAATGTTTGCAGACAAGGATTGGGTTATTGGACGCCTTATCTGCGAAATAATCACATACCTGTCATGTAAATCTTGAAGTGTAGATTTAACATCAGGATCTAGGAAAGCTGACTTGTGTTATGTTTTCATTTTCGATTTCAAGTTGCAGATTATTTTACGAATGGTGAACGGAATGGACATAACTCTCCCAGAAAGTGAGTCCAACGCAGCATAATCTCGTTTCGCCAATTCCCTGGAAACGTTTCAACAGAATCCATAAGTATCTTGAAATTCGCATTCAAATTAACTGACGAGGTTTCACGATATTCAGGACCCTTCATGAAAAGCTTAACATTTTGAATAATGCTTATATCACCACTTCTAAGTTCTAAGGTCATCTACATTCAGTTGATGCAGCGTTTGTTTGTAGTTATACGGTTAGGATGCAATGGACTTGCAGTAATGACAGAAACTTTCAGGGGCGTTTCTACTTTGAAAGTATGGTTGAATGTTAGCTTGAACAGATTTCTGGTGTAAAATATTGGTGATATTTATAATATCAACTCCTTAATTTACAAACTCAACATTATAAGTTAGCGAGTTGATGATCGCTGAGGTGCATATTTGTACTCTCGGACTGTTAGCTATGTAAACTGTTGGTATTGTCTTGACCTGGGATGGTTTTAGATGTAAATTGTTGTTTATACCATAATAAATCACTGTTAAACAGAGGAGGTTTTTACATAGCAATACTTTACTGCACAAGATCACGCTTGTAAAAATGTGTATAATTGTCAACATTTTTGGTGAATTTATAAAGATTTTAGCTGATATTTATTGGTTACTCTTACAATTGGAATATATTGCTGACAGAAGCGCCACCTGTAGGCCAATCGAGAAATCTGTTTCGATATCGTTAAGCTATGAGGGAATCATCATATTTGATAAATGACATATCTTATGAAAAATACGCCGTGGGCAAGAACATTGTGTTTAGATTTACCAGGTTTTATTTGAATATATCTCATAATGTATCACTATATGGATAAGTTAAAATGTAGCTTGCAGTTCTTGGCGAACTTCGTTCATTAGAAATCCAAAAGCAGTGTCTACCACTTGAATATTTTTTTTCAAATATTTCCGTGATAGATATCACCAGTTACTTATACCTGATAGAAAACACAAGGTTTCATGATGCGTGGTTTGCTGAAAACTAAAGTTTAGGAGCCTCTGACGATTATTCAATAAAGGACTGCACGTACAGATGTAATGTCGCTACTGTAGGAATTCTAGATTCCAGATAGGTGCTAGATACAACAAATGTTCCCAATACATAAATTTAAATACACCACTTAGCCTTAAAAACAGTATAACATATGACGCATTATATACGAATAAATAATACACTGAAACGCATATATCAGTGGGTCAATATAAACAAGAGAAATATCCAATCAGGACAGACCTGTGCACCTTTTCTATATATATCGATAGGTTATATACCATAGATGGGTTGTTATTACACAATCGACAGTAGTATCTTAATAGTAATTTTGTAGTTTACAGACATTTTGCGCATTTCTGTGGAAAGATCGTTCAAAGGAAATGGTTGACGGCAACACACTTCTTGCTGTGCTTTGTGTTACAATGGTGATGTCTCTTGCTGATCGAGGTAAAAGAAATTGTCTTGATATGTACATACAAAATATATAACCATTTGATGTCAGCATCATCTAATTATCAACAGTCAGCCGAAAAACAGAAATGCCGAAAAAACAGAAATAACAAAAAACGTCTTCTCAGCATCTGTTGGCCCCTCCATATTTCGTGAAAAGAAAATAATAGTATTTATATAAAAGATTAATAAAGTGATCTTAAAACATGTTAGTAAAAGCTGTCCGAACTGTGTGTATATTTCTTGTGCTTATATTGTACATTTCTTTCATCGATTCTGGAGTTATCCGAAAGAAATAAAATGACATTTTAACATGATTTACGATCGCGCTTTGCAACATTTTACCTTTTTAAAAGTGCTTAATGCAGTAGAAACATGATAAAGGATACGAAACTTTAGTAGGTCAACAATGTGTCAACAAGCAGAAATCATTTATACAAATACAAATGTTTGTATTGTAGCTAGATGTTGCCAGGCATCAACTGTTTCCTGATTATATTCAATTATCGATGTTGATGATCGAAAAAAATAAAATGGAAAGTGTTTTAAAACGAACCATTAATTATATAGATTTTTCTCTGAAAACAATCATGACATACATGATTCCGATGTTTCTGTTACAGATGTATGTCATGATGTGACTGTAGTAGGCGGTGGTATTGGCGGGACATACGCGGCCTGGAAACTCAGACATCATGAATTAAATATCGGTTTATACGAGTTCTCGGACCGACTTGGAGGCCGCTTCTACACGTATCGCTTTCCTGAGGCACCGGACATTCCAATCGAGCTTGGTGCTATGAGGTTCAACAATGAACTCCATCCGATATTATCTCGTACAATACAAGAACTCGGGCTTAAGACGGGAATATTTAGAAATCAAGATTACTTTTCCGATGAGACAATGCTTTTCCTGAGGGGAGTACATTTCCGTAATAAAGACTTTAGTAAAAATCATGTGCCTTATAATCTACGTCAAAATGAAAGGAAAGGGATACAAGAAATATATAGGTTTGTTATTCTTTTGTTTTACAAAGTGTTTGGTTAGCTGGTTATGATACTTTAAAAGGAACTTTAAGCATATATGAACATTGATATTCATTTTGTTTTCAGATATTTGACTCAGAAGACCAATTTTAGTGGAGACCTTTCATCTTTACAAAAGGAGCTGCCCTTTATTGTATCAGATGACAATGCTTCGTTGTCAGACCAAACGTAAAACTAGTTTGAAATAGTTGTAAACATATTAATTGTTAAGTATATATAGATATGGTTTCGTTTTTCTAAGACTCTTTAATGATGAATATGTCTTTTAATGGTAACACATTTTAGCCTGCTAGTAAATAATAATCAACCTTGGTGTTCATCATTTTTAAAATGTAAAATTTCGGTGAAAAATCGGACATTTTATTTTCTGAACCGTATGAATATCCACATGGATTAATATTTTAGTTACATTGCAGGCAGCATACTTAAAATAGAAAACTGAAAATAAACATTGAGAAAGATGACAATTATACATCTAATTTACCATTCTCTGATTGTCTTACAGAATCAGTGAATTCTTCTCAAAGTATTTAAGTGATGAAGCTATTGAAATGGTTACCAACATTTTGAAATTTAACTCCCATAACCCAACGGCGGCACATGTTCTACATTTTATGCCAGAAAATTTTAATGTCGACGTGTATATGACAATATCAGAAGGTATTCAACAACTTCCGGAACACTTGGTAAAGCAGTTTATTGGAGCCAGCAGGTAAAAACTGTTTCGTAATTATACTAATGTTCGGTAATACCTTAATATTCCTTATACATACATAATAGATAAAAGCAATGAACCACTTACATGTAGCAGACATCGACTTGTATCGCTGTATTTATCACAGATAAACTTAACGTTAGACGATGGTCTCATCCAGTGGATACTCTAACAATGAGTATTTGAATAGCCATATATGAATATATAGGCACGGAAAACGTAAATATTAGTAAAAAGTTTCAGCTCTCAAAGGTCAACATCATGTTTACGGGACATAGGCATATGAGGTAAATAATAACGACTGTTTAACCATAGTCACATTCTGAACTCGGGCATATAGATGTGAATAGTTAGTCCTTAAATATGGTGTACCATGCAATATTACTTAGAATTATATCGAATTATTCCATGCTTTATATTACACAATTAAGGACTTTTATACATATATATTGTTTGAAACAATATCTAGATAGATAAAGATGAAACATGTCTCGCCACTTAAGTAATTTATACAAAGCTAAGAACATACTTATCACCTAAACCTTTCAGCCTTTGTTAAAACCTTAGCTCTAGAATATATCAGTTTTGAAAAACCAATGTTTGAAAAAGTGTATTTAAATATAGTTCAGTAAATTTGAAATTTAAAAAATGTATAAAAAAATACCTTAATTGTTTATAACTGCAGAAATCATAGTGTACACACAAACCATCAACTGATTAGTATCACCCGGAACTCTGTTGATGGCTACACCCTAGGATTCATGCAGACTGTAACGAGTGACGGAAAAACAAGTCCGACCAGCCAATTTATCAGTGTCTGTAGTCATCGAGTTATATTGACTGTTCCGCCACCAGCTTTGCTTCAGATTAACTTGGAAACGTTACAACAGCGACATATTCTTTCAACTTTAAAAACTTTGAACTACCATGTTGGTGTTAAAGTGTTCTTGCTGTATGACTACCCTTGGTGGAGAGACCATCTAATCAAATCAGACATTGATAGCTTGAATTCATACGACAGTCTTCATAAATGCCCCAAGCTCAAAAATCAATATTCTAATTACTATGATATTCTACATTCTGGTTATACTGATAACAGGTACGATGAACATATACGCCCAACTTTGATATCAGATCTCCCAATTGATATGACCTTAGATTTTGGTATTTCTAACAGGACAGGCCGAGCTGTTTTGTTGGCAGCGTATTCAGTGCATGACTTGTGGAGTGAGTTACAGAAAAATGGCGAAAAACTCAATCTTGGACATCACAGCGTGTCAACAGAGGTTGTCAGACACGCCCACATGTACCTGGCAAAGCTTTACAACATTAACATGACAGTAATCCCGACACCGACTGCTGGAGTGATATCACACTGGGATCAGTATCCATATAAGGAGGCATTCAGTACATCGAAAACTGGAGTCGATAAGGAAACAGTTTGGAGAACAATTCACAAACCATCAGCTGTGGATAATATCTTCATCGCGTCTGGCTCCTACTCGAAGCGTACGTCTGATGCCTGGTCCGAATACTGTTTGGAGGCTGTCGAAGGAATAATTTCCACGTATTTTGGAAACAATTAACCTTTACTTTGAATAAACAAGATAACGCGACTAATAATTGAATCATCATATTTTCTAAGCGAGTTTTTACGAAGAAATGGGCAATTTTATTGTGAGGAAGTTTGGACTGTTCCGTTAATTTACAAACATGAAATCAGATTTCTATTAACAACTTTTGTAATTATGCATTCAGATTTTGTTTGTAAACGTCGAACTGGGATATCGGCCTTTATCTGTTGAGGTGATGGAGATTAATATCAGAAAATATTTGTACATATCTTACTTAATGGTAATAATATACATTGTGGATCATAGTAAAAAATTTAATAAATGCAACAATGCTGTTTGAAAATAAATCACATTCAGGTAGATCGGAGTTATCGCCCTTGTGTTGTATTGCTAATTATCATTATATAATGACTCTGCTGTAAGTTGATTTTGTCTGGTACAACTGTGATATTAGGTGTGGAAATGTCATACAAGTACACAAATGCCAGTAAAATTATCTAAAACTTAAGTTAAATTGAAACCTTTCTTATGAGAGAGATTAAAAATGATAACGATTTAATATGTTCAGTTTCAGATCACTGTGTAAAGACAAGCAGTAAACCTAGACTATAAATAATATGATATATTTGTTCTGTCTTGTACGTTGATTATGTTCTGTACCACTGTGATGTTTGATGTGGAAGATGCCATATATGTATTGATGCACCAATAAAATTGTCTGAAACTAAATTGAAATAGAAACTTTTGAAAAATAGATAAAAAAAATTATTAGGAAAAATATGGTCTATGAATAGCATGATATGAAGTAAGTCAGAATTTTCAAGAAATTGACCAAGTTGTTAGGCAAATTATATATCACACCAACATACTAAGATCACAACTAGTGTAAACAATGAGTTGATAAATAGTGTATAATCTCCTGTGTATTGTATATTCTGATAGTATGTGGATAGACTGACTTTTTCACAAATACATTTTCTTTACAAAAATTAACCAATCTTAGACATTCATTTATAAGAATACATCATATGGATACCATAGGCATAATAAAATGGTTTGAATACCACAGGGAAATGTTTATATTCTATTCTCTGGTGCCGGACATAAATGTATACAATTACCATAAATGTATATAATTACTTAATATAGACAATAATTACATTATAATCGTATATAAACATGTACCTGACCAGCACTAGGAAGATGACATGATCTAAGAGATGTTCTGTATATCATGCGGGGTATAATGACCCAAAATCTAATTATATAGACAATTGATTCCTGGAACGGCAGTTTCTGAAACACAGCAGTCTGATCTGGAAAACAATACTATATAGCAGCTGGCGTTTGGCACTGGACATAGACATATTTAACGCCTAACAGTTTCTACCACTTAATTTCTAAGACATGTATTTGAAATCTTAATGTTTACGGAGAAAATAAATCTATCAGTGAAAACGTGATATTTCTATTAATTCTAAGTGGATACATACAAATATAAGGAACGTATTCCTTAACGGTTAACAATTAAAATTTCATAAATTTTCTGTTGATCATGTTTTAAAGCCATAATAAACTCTAATTTCTCTAAAACATCGAAGAGAAAATACCTATTTTTTATCATGCATCTGTATTGACAAAAAACTGTTGAAATTATCATTTATAAATACAGTTCCCATTACGATCCTTGATAAAACGAAGTCGGGAAAAGACCTTTAGACGTTACCTTTGGAGGTCGGTATTCTTAATTAGCGTCACAGTATCTGATATTTGATTCTATTAAAAGCTGCTATTAACTTGTGTATGTTTTGTAAATCTTTACAACAGATGTCTATTAATATGTCACTGTAGCAATACCGAGTAGGGCTAGTGGTTCTCCAAATACAATGCTTTTGTAAGCAGCTGATTGAATATCGGTTTGTGTATAGTTAAACACTGATGTTTTATTCGTGATGTCTGATCGACATATGTGTTTAGGCTGCCATACACATCTTCTGCGAGATATCATTGTTTAGCATGATGAAATTATACAAAAGCACATTACTGAAAAGCATCCTGTAATGCAAAAATTATATAAAATATACACAAGCGAATAGCACCTTAGATTTAGATATAGTAGGGCCAAACAATGAAATAAGCTGCTCCAGACGGCTGTTTCGGCATTCAAGGAATCGTCAGTGATGCGAAGTGCATTACTTTTGAAGCCTGAGAAGCACCAAGGATAATCCAATGTGATCAACGTTCCGCAGTTTACGGCAAATCTCAGGGACTAACAGTCCATCTGCAGTGTCTACTATCTACTATCTCAACGATTGCACAAGACATAAAAGTGAATTGTACTCTTCAGACATAACGGCGGCTTTTTTTGTTATATCAATTAAAGCATAATGATATTTACGTATCATTTTTTAGTTTCACAAAATAAACAAATATGCTGAGATAATATTTACTGTCAAATTAGATTTTCATTTATATATTTAAAGTAACAACATCTGTAAATAGTCTATGGAAAGAACGTGATTTTTAAGTATTGCCAAAAACGTCTTCTGATGTATTCAATTGACGTGACTGTCCACACAATTTACATTTACAATATTCTTTACGTCCCATATTTCAACGACAATTCAGTGTGTTTTAGAATTGCTTAAATTTGAAGTTACATTTGGACAACATATGATTTCAGTGACTTCACTTCATTTGCTAGGAAAATCAAGAAATTTATTTTAGACACCTTCACTAAACAACATCTAAAATATGATATGAATTAGGTATTTTTAATATCCATGACAGCGTAATGGATAGAATGGTTTAAGTAAATATAGAGAAAAAAATACATGTATTTCCTCGAAATAATTTTATTGATTACATATCTGTATGCATCAGACTAAATAAATACATTGACGTCTGATGATAAAAATCCGGTACAAATACGACATGTAATCTTAATGTGGAGCATTCGGATCAACAACATTGCTCTAGGTAATATATCTTTTTAATCAATATTTTGAACATTGTAACACATCTGACAAAGGAATACAAGTTTTGATTCGTGTCCCATTTGGTCCTCGAATTCACATTCACGGCATGGAATCATACAACAAAGAAATTCTAAACTGTTTAACCATTACACCAAGACGACATTCTGATTAAAATGGAAAAAAAAAATTATACTGTTTGCTTGATTGTTTTATGAATTTCTTCTTGCGTTGAGTGGATGACAATGAACAGGGTGGCAAAAATTTAAATTAAGTTTTCAGGGACTAGTTATATTATTCCTTTATATGTACAATTATACCCTACCTCACTTCATCCAAGTAAAACATTAGCATGAACGCTTATCGATTAATATTTAAAATAATTAATGTACTTTTTGTATATAAGAAAGGCGATAAAATAAACATGGGTTTTGCTTATCAAATTATTGGAACATCGCCTCAACAATGCTCTGCGGGATAGCAATGAATATACTATTTACTTGTTGCATCATATATATTGATGTGAAATGAATGCCGTGTATCAAACCAGAATACCTTTTATTTCGTTTCCATCTAATCATACTAAAGCCGAAAGTATTGGTCGTTTTCTTACCATCTCGGATACTTCATACGTTAGTGGTAGGAAAGGAAACTCCACACTGGTTATTTATTTGATTCAAGTGACCGTGTAGTCATCGAAACATCACATTCTAATCTTCTACTGGTTGTGTTATAAGATGAAGGTGACCGTGTCGTCATCGAAACATCACACTCTAATATTCTCCTGGTTGTGTTATAAGATGAAGGTGACCGTGTCGTCATCGAAACATCACACACTAATATTCTACTGGTTGTGTTATAAGATGAGGGTGACCGTGTCGTCATCGAAACATCACACTCTAATATTCTACTGGTTGTGTTATAAGATAAAGGTGAACGTGTAGTCTTCGAAACATCACACTCTAATCTTCTACTGGTTGTTTATAAGAAATATAAGGTGACCGTGTAGTCATTAAAACGTCACACTATAATCTTCTACTGGTTGGGTTATAAGGTGACCGTGTGGTCATCAAAACCTCACACTCTAACATTCTACTGGTTGTGTAATAAGATGAAGGTGACCGTGTCGTCATCGAAACATCACACTATAATCTTCTATTGGTTGTGTTATAAAATGAAGGTGAATGTGTAGTCATCGAGACATCACACTCTAATCTTCTACTCTTTGTTTTATAAGAACTATAAGGTGACCGTGTAGTCATTGAAACATCACACTCTTATCTTCTACTGGTTGTGTTAAATAAGACGAAGGTGACCCTGTGGCTATCAAAATATCACACTCTTATCTTCTATTGTTTGTGTTATTAGATGAAGGTGACCGTGTAGTCATCGAAACATCACACTCTTATCTTCTACTGGTTGTGTTATAAGATGAAGGTGACCATGTAGTCATCGAAACGTCACACTCTAATCTTCTAATGGTTGTATTATAAGATGAAGGTGACCCTGTAGCCATCAAAACATCACACACTAATCGTCTTATGGTTGTGTTATAAGATGAAGGTGACCGTGTAATCATCGAAACGTCACACTCTGACCTCCAGATGACTGGGTTATAACGCCGTCAATTCTACAGAATTGCATCAATTTGTGAAAAAGATTAAAGCGGGACATTCAGGAGTTACATTTTTAAAGGAAGACATGGATCTATTGCGGTTTGTTTTGGTACGGTACATCGGAATTGTTATTTCTTTAAATATGACTGGATTCGTTCACTGTGGTTACCTTGAATTAATAACATTCTACAGTCGAACCTCGTTATCTCGAAGTCATCTGGGCTGTGAGATAACTTTGAATATTCGATTTAAGTCAATTCGAATGTTTAGTGTTATATTTGGTTGGGACCGACGAAATACTTCGAGTTATACAGGGTATTCGAGTTATAAGAGTTCAGGTTAACGAGGTCAAACTGTATTGCGAATAGATAGTCGTCTTCTAATAACATCACGTTTATACATAAATATTAAATCTTAAGGA